ACAAACTACAATGTTAACACTAGTTTTGCAATAAACCTATTATCTATTTATCTATCTATCTTATACATGGTACACGCCTCTACGTAATCTCGCAGCAGTAGTAGCTATAGCAGTCGGTTCACGCCCACGTGAGGTGCGCACGCAGTGAGAAGTAGGAGCTCCGCGATAGTTAATTTATTCGATATTTGTTGTCATTTCCAATTTAATCAATGAAAGATTTAAGCAAGTCGAGCATTGATTGGTTTGCGTGCCATCGCATGCCGCCATTATTTCTCTGCCGGAGTGCCTGTGCCAGCGGTTGGCTGGTTGTGTTCTCGTGTCGTCGTCGCGCTGTAGGGATGTTCTCTTGTTTGCAGAAGCGCGCGATGATCGCGTTCAGCGACCAGGTGAGGACACGGGAGGAGCTGCTGGGACCAGACGAGCTGACGGAGTCCGAGGATCAGGTGAGGTCTCCTCCTCCTCCTCCTCCTCCTCCTCCTCCTCCTCTACTTTCTCTTCTTTCTCCTCCTCCTCTTTCTTTTCGTCTTCTTCTTCTTCCTCCTCCTCCTATCCGCTTCTCCTCCTCCTCCTTCTCTTACTCCTTTTCTTTCTTCTTCTCCTCCTTCTATTCTACCCACTTTTCCTCCTTCTCCTCCGCCTCTTCCTCCTGCTCCTACTCTTCCTTCTCCGCCTCGTCCTCTTCTACCCGGTTATCTCTCACCTTCCCCACCCGCTTCTCCTTTCCCTCCTTCCTCCTTTCCCCCTCTCTCCACTTCTCCTTCCTTCCCTCCTCTTCTCTCCCCCTCTCCTTCCTCTCCTCAAAGAGAATTGCAGAGATCGCGTGATGTCATGTCCAGGCTGTCGTGAGGGCGGCCGCGTGCGTTCTAATCGATCGTCCTGAGACTAACGGAGGCTGCCGGGAGGGCGTTGATAGTCCTGAATTGATAGTGAGAACCTGTGACGTCGGCTCAGTGCATCTCAGGTTATTAGCCAGGAATGAGTATTGTGGGAGTGCAGAAAAAATATTTGGGAGTGCAATTTTACAAATGTACACCACGGCTTTAGATCAATATTTTAGGCCGTGCTACACATTTTTGGCCGTGCAGTTTCAAAACCGACCGTGCAAATCACGGCTGCACGGCTCGCTGGCTAATACGTTGGTCCGTCTGTCGTGCGTTTCAGCGTCAGCGTCTGCTGGAGAATTCCGAGCGCCTGGAGCGCGCCTCGCGTCGCCTCGAGTCCGGCTACGGCATGGTCGTCGAGACGGGTGAGTCATCGTCGAGACGCACGAGTCGTTCGTCGTCTCGAACAACAACTCTAATTTCTAAATTTTTTCTTCTAATTTTTTTAACCATACTTCTACTGCTGATCCAACTGAATTCAAATGTGGACAAGTTAATATTAGAGAGTGGTATTTAATACCGCCTACATTACGAAGCGTGAGCGTAGGTGTCGCGTGCGGCCGCACTCGGCAGGGACGGAGGCTGAGGCGGACGGGCGGTGACTGTGTTGTGTGTTGTTACATTACAGAGCAGATAGGAGCAGCAGTGCTGGAGGATCTACATTCACAGAGAGAGACGATGAAGCGATCCCGAGATCGGGTGAGCAATACTGCTACTGTCATCGCACTCATGCATGCAGGCAGACACATTCACAAATACACGCACGCACGCACGCACGCACACACACACGCACGCACACGCACATGCACGCACACACACACGCACGAACAGCAATGCAACATGCACACCACCACACGGCACGCACACACGCACACACACATGCACGCACGCACCACACGACCACATGGCACGCAACACAACCAACCCGCACAGCGCATACCACACGCACACACCAATACGACACAAATGACACACACGCAGGGAGCCTCGCACACGCACTACGCACACACAACACATATCACACAAAATAACACCGCACGGCAACGCACGCACGCACGCACGCACGCACGCAACGCACCGCACAGCACGCACATCGCAACATCTGCACACACACACACGAAACATACACACACACATCGCACACACACAACACCACACAAATCCGCAGCGCCACGCACACACACCACATGTCACAACACACACACACACACGCACGCACGCACAGGCACACACACACGCACACACCACACACACACACAACACAACACAACACACGCCACACTCACGACGCCACACAGGCTGTGGGTGGCATAAGGGAAACAAATTTTTTTAAGGCTTACTCCTTTCTCGGCCCCTCCTCGTGATTTACAGTCCCTCGACAGAGCCGCGTTTGCGATCGGATGTCATCGCGCAAGAGACTGTAACGATTGAACGTATGTTAATCTGATATATTATGTATATATACCAGAGGTATGTTGTGTAATATTATATGTTAATAATACGTGTAAATAAACGTATATACATAATATAATATAATATATATAAGATAAAGTTATACGGACACGGTAGAATTTTGACCTCTGTATTTATTGCAGAAGTCAAATTTCCTCCGGTGTCGCGTATGAACTTATAATCTAATATTTGCTCTAACTCATGGGTAGTATTGGAGGCACTCTTGACGCACGAGTTCATAAACAACATTGGAATCTCATCTCATAGATATATATATATATATATTTATATATATATAATATATATATAAATACGTTAAAATTATACGTATTATACAATGTATGTCTAACGTTGTCTCGTGTGGTTGTTTACAGCTTCGGGACAACGGATGCCGGAGCTTGGCAGGGGATGCACGCATCCTCACCAGCATGCTGCGGCAGGTTCGTACGCATAGGTAGTGTTCCTATCACACCTAACGCATAAGGTAGCTGTCTGTCCTGCACACTAAACGTAAGAGTAGCTGTCTGTCTCTGGACACTAACGTATTAGCGTAGCTGTCTGTCCTGGACAACTAGACAGTATTAGGTAGCTGTCTGTCCTGGACACTAATGCATTAGGTAGCTGTCTGTCCTGGACACTAGACGTATAGGTAGGCTGGTCCGTCCTAGCACACTAATGGCAATAGGTAGCTGCTGTCTAGTCTGTCTGCTGCAACACTAACCGCATAGGTAGGCTGTCGCTGTCCTGCCGACTAATGCCATAGGTAGCTGTCCTGTCTGTCCTGCACAACTATGCATAGGTAGCCTGGCTTGTCTGTCTGTCCTGCCAACACTAAATGCATAGGTAGCTGTTCTGTCCTGGAACACTACGTATGGGTTAGCTGTCCTGTTCCTGGACACTAACGTATGATGTACTGTCCGTCCTTGCACCACTAACA